TTTCTCAGCAAAAATCCAAATCCCCCAAAGCTTTTTCTTTTTCTTGCCAAACACATCCCCCAAAGCCGGATCTACTAATTAATTCCTTTTATTAATTTAATCAAACTTCCGCAATTGACCCCTCAATTCCAAATGCCACTAACCGCAGATCTGTTCTTACTTTCCTTTTCCACCTTTTGTTGAGCACGAGCACGTCATAATCTTCACAAGTACGCGAGTATATAGGACTATACAATATTGCTTTTTAAGAGCTTATTCTTTGTTCTTTTTTTTTTTTTTACCATAATTTTAGAGCTTATTCTTAATTAAAGCGTACTTGCGACGCAGGACAACATCTTCATAACTGACAGCGTTCCAAGACGCGGTCGCAAAATGGAAATAACGAGACCACCTGTGTCCTGTATCAATTAATTGGCAAACAATGAACCTCTTTTACACCGTACCGAAAGTTCATTATCATGGCTTGAAAATGAAAGTTCAATATCCAAATTCAACTTTCGAGTAATATTTACCCCGTCCCATGACGGCAACCTAAAATAGTATAAATAAACCACCTCAGCAGAGTAGAAACCACCCCATTATCGGTGTAAGATTATTTGATTTTAAAATTAAATTAGAATTATATTGTGATAAACATTTCTCCATGCACTGGAAGGTTAATGCATAATATTGCATCGCATGAACATTTACCCATAGATATATAGATATACTACACATACAAATTAAAGAATACCAACCCAGTAATCTCGCTCCAATTAAATATGACAGTAACCATTTTTTTTTTAAAAAATATCATGCGCCTGTTTGATATTCACATTTAGATATAAATGAGTCACTTTGAAACGAAATAAAATTCAGATGTTGTTTTGACTTGATCTCCCCCAAAAAAATCAAATCTAAAAGTCCATTTCAGAATATCAGAAATGTGCTTTCACTCAACAGAAAAATCGAGAATTTTTGTATCGATCTTTCAATTTATTAAGCCAAGTTTTGATCAAATGTATTCAAATAAAAAATTTGTTATAATAATTGAAATTTTGGCCAATAAAAAAAATTAAATGAGCACTACAGTATTGTTTCTAACGCAGTTTAATTATAAAGAAGAATGCAAACATATCCTTTGCCTTTCAAACATAATATATATTGTCAACATGTTTTTTTTTTTTAATTGAAGGCTGCTCCCATGGTTACTTGGGTTTGATATACATATTTCTTTTAATAAGACGTACAGTATACGAAAATTCATGTTTAGACGTTGTTATTGGCCGTTGTTTCCGGGTAATTAATGAAATGAGAGTTTATCATAAGACACATAACATGAATTGTCATGAAATGGGGTTATATATACGTAAGAACAAGAATAGGTGAAAAATGACGTAAAGTGAATGAGAATGCTTGCGTTTACGATGCACTACTGTATCATCAAGTGGATGCAATATACAGGAAAAGTAAGGTCAAGGGAGGAAAGAGTGGTGAGAGAGGAGAAGAGGAGCCAAGTTCAAGTGGTAATGCAATATGCTTGAGGGTTAGGAAAGGAAAAGGTAGGAAAAGAATGTTGGAATTAAAGGAGGAAAGCTTTAAAGGAGGGAGTATTATTGTCAAGTTCAGGAGTCAGGTAGCTATCCACTTTCTTCATGCCAGAGGGGCTTTGGCCTTCCCACTGCTCTCAAACTTTTCTGTAATATCATCTCAACCAGAGCTATGCCTAACCTACTCACCACATGCTTGGCTGGGAATGGCAACTACCCTTTCTCTCTGCCCTCACATGTCCTCTTTGCCACGAACATTGTTTTCTTTTTTCTTCCATTTCCTTTTCACCCCCTATTCCTAACTCCCCTGTCTCGCTGTCTCGCCCTCTTTTCGGGGTTCATTCATGTCCCTTTCCTCCATCTTGCCTTTTCCTTTTTTATATTCACCCGCCTCTCGCTTCTTTTCTTTATCTTGCTTATAATTATTCCTACATTAATTAGCTACTTCTTAAATTATCGCCCTAATGTTTCGCAACACACAACTCCACAATTTCTCCACATCACCCATGACCCAAGGACACTCATCTTCTTGCAATTGGACGCCTTCTTCGTAGTAACAACTTGCTTCACAATCACTACTCCGTACACACTTTGTTGAAAATGCGTCTTCTTTCTAAGCAAATTCACTTTACTACCATACACTGGGAGTCATAATTAATAAGGTGATCGTAATGCAATGAAGAATGAAGAGGGAGAGGACCAAACTCAATCAATGCGGTTATCTGACAGGCAATCCGTAGGCAAGGAGAGAGGAGAGAGGAGAGAGCTTTGATTTGAGAGATGCAGTACATAGGCATATAGCAGAGTACATAATAATATAAAATATAAGCATTCACATAAAAGAAGCACCGAGTACTTTGCTCCCCTTGGGCTGGGCATCTGTACCCCCATGTGACCACCACTTGGCCTCTCTCATTTCTCCCCACACTATCACTCACCCACTCACACGCCCCTCAACCTAACCGAGCAATTATTAATCTCGACGCTGATCTCCTCCCTGGGCTCGACCCTCAATGCGGGGACCGATTCCCTGATGGCTTACACGTGTCCCTGTTCGCCCCTCTCTTCAGACACGTGTACTCTGAGGACCATTCCCCGTCCCCAGACAGCATAGATTCTGACACCTCCATCTCCCTCCTTTGGGCTCTCAACTCTCCTCTCTGGTGTGCTTGGTTTAGTTTAGGTGCTTGTTCTTCCCTCGCATGACATGCTCCTAAATACTACTATTTCTATTCTCTTCAGGTCAACCAAGAGCCAAGAACTTGGATATTACAGACCTGAAAGGTAGTTGACACACAGAGAGAGAAGAGAGAGAGAGGGAGAAGTGGGGGGGGGGTTTCACTTTCAAGTTTCAAGTTTCGACTTTTCCATATGGCCAATAATTGAAACTGAAAAGGGCCTAGTTAAATTCAACAGTGGCATCTGGATCCGGTGGCCTCCATCCTTCCACGTCCAACACGCAGCAGCAGCGGGACTCCAAATATCTATGCTCATATTCTTCACTCTTCACATCAAACCCCTACTTTTAAGTGGATTCCAACTCCTCTTTCAACCATTAGATTCCCTTAACCCCTCTGTCTTCTGTTTCACTTTCACTCACCTAACCTTTCACCTTTAACCCCTTCCCTCCCTACCTGACAAACTCTAACTATCAACTCTCCTCCTTTTATTAGATTCCCCTCCATTCCTTCCCTCCTAAGCATCTTATCGCCTCCCTCTTTGCTTCTCTGCACTCCCCCCTTCAATAAAGTATCTAGTGCCGCTCCATTTTCCATCATCCTCTTCTTCTTTTAAATAATCAAAGCTCTTGGACGTGGCGCCTTTTCCATCATAAGCCCTCTTCGCGTCAATAATGTGCATTGTTTCATGCTTCCACAACATTGTCACCAGGGCACGGCTTTCCGCATGTGTCTTATATTGTGGTCAATTCTCGTGCCTTCTCATCGTTCCAATTGTTTCATATATAAATTCTGTGGTGCCACCTCGGCTTTCCACTATGACCGATAAAGCAGGGCGGCTTTGGTTCGTATATATGAAGTCTGACAACAAAGCATACCCTGTATTGTAATTATACCCGATCTTTCTGCTTAGCTTTTCTCCCAAAGAGGACTACCAGCGGGATCTGTTATAAACATGTAAAATGAAGAACCTTTTAAATGAGACATGAATTGTTTTCCGTCCTTTATTTTATGGCCAACCTACCTGCATGTGATCACACGACCTACCCATCCAACTCAATCAGTATCTCGATATTATTCGGGCCTTGTTCTTACGCTCAATTTTTTAACAACAGACAAAACCAGTTTACATGCATGTTGACCAGTACTGATTTCAAATAAAAAAAAAAAAAAGATCAACACCTCAAAGGCTCTGACAAAATAATCGTTACTTCGGTATTCTTCTTCCTTGGGCACCAATAATTGATCCATCTATAACCGGGCAGCTTATACTATATATGTGCGTGTATCTATACTGATTTTTTGGTGGTGATAACAAAAAGGTTGAAAAAAGCCTACATGGGTAGCATAGACGCGGAGTTCGGAATCCAATATATAGTGCCAATGATCACTGAAAGAAATCAAAGAGCAGGGAAAGCCATAAATGGCAGTGTGTCAAGACACGGACGAGGGAACAATAATACAAGCGTTGAATAATGTGGCATGTAGTACAACCTTGTTAGAGCACCAAAAGTCTTTATCACAAGTCACGACTGCCACTTTAGTCATCTACAGAAACAAGATAGAAAACCTTACAAGACAGTTGATAAGGGGTCCTCTCGCATTACCTGAATCTCCCAAAATCCAATTATTAATGCCTATGATTATCTTATTTGCGCCTTAAGGATATCTTACTGAGACGGGAAAGTTATTATCCTGCCGCTGTATTCAGTATAACTCCTGGTTAATGCACGTGTCCTCACTTAACTGCGGTCCCAAGCAGCGAGCACCATCACCGGATTCATGGTTCGGCATTTTAGCCAATAATGAAGCAAAACGTGGTTCCGGTGCAGCATACAAGCTTGTTGCATGTATTCAATTCATTACCGTGTTAAAATAGATTCCGAATCCATTATTTACAGTATGACCGATCTGTCACCAAAATATTCTATTTCCCAGCGTCACTGACTTGATATTGGGTTCTCCTTACCATAGAATAATGTCCATTAATTAACAGTACTCGTCTGTCCCCCTCAAAGCACCTAAAAACTTTGAGAAAAGGTAACCAATAATTGACGATTAATTATTGGCACTGGTATGAGTGAAATTAAGATCTCTGAGTTGGTTCATATACAGTTTAAGAAATTCACGGTCCAACGATGTCAACCGCATTATTTAATCTCAACTCGTAATTGCGCATTGGGTCGACGAAGATCGATGTTCAATTCTATACAATAAAATAATGAATCTTTACTGAGTTTGGGGGGCCGAAAACAAGATAATTATTATTAAGAATGTATATGATTGGAATTAGTGATAGGAGAGGGAAAACAGAAGTAGTTGAATGCATTTACATGCGCCTGATCAGAAGCTACAGAAATTTGCTCTGTGGTCGACTGGTTACATCAATGCAGTCAGAGTTTGGGGAAATAAGAACGACACTTTTGTCATTCTTTTTCCTTGCATTTTTGGTGTTTTCCTTCCGAAACCGAACAAAAATTACAAAAGGCCCTATATAAAATATACGTATATATCCTACCCCGAGCTTAATATAATTGGCAGGGTATGGATATGTACAAGTCATCTAGAGTACACATTTACACTTTGGAGCATGCACGCTGAGATGCTTGTTTCCACTCCACTAAATGTCCAAGAAAGTCCTTCACCTGCATGCACATTAATGATTGTCAATAAACCAAAAAAAAAAAAAAAGAACTATATTTTAAGCATGCTCGGGGAGTATTAAAAAAAGAAGTAACAAATGATAAGTTGTACACTTGTACTTGCCTCCTCCGGCTCCTGTAAAGAGTAAGATGCGATAGTGTCCCTTGGAAATTTTGACACGAGAATGCCTAAACCTTGTCCCCTGTCTCTCAATTTCTGCTCATCGTTAAACAGTTTACAGAATTTAGGGTGAATATCCAAGGTTTAGGAAATTATTAGTATTCTTTTTATAGACCTCAGAGACAACAAATCAACATTTATTGGATACCTTAAAGGCATCTTCGTCCGTTCGATCATCACCAATGTAGACGGGGAAGACATCAGCACAATTGGCAAATCCTGTTGAAAATAATTCATTATATTCAGATTGCAGTGCAGATTATTTAATATGGCGCTCGTTGTTGCCAGCAAACCTGAACTCACCTAGTGACTCTAGCAGAAATTCCAGGGCTTTCCCTTTGTCCCATTTAATAGAGGGACGAATCTCAAATACCTGTATTAAACAAATCAGGTGTGAAAGTGAGGCATTTTTCCTGTTAACTTTTGCCCTGATACGCAGTTTTAAAATAAATCAAATCCGGGAAAAGTAGACGAGTAAAACAAGAAAACAGAATTATGGCCCACCTTCCTTCCTTGGGTGAGACGAAGCTTCGGGTACTCCTTAAGCACCGATTTCACTTGGTGAGCCAGTTCGCTCCATTTCTGTGTATCGTGCACAAGTTTAGACTTTGTCTAGAACTGAGCAATACCCACATGAGAATTTTCACCACGTAGGGGCTTACAACTATACCTTCTCGTCAACACAACGATAGTGAACAGAGACGCAGAACTTGTTGTTCTCCACCATCGCGCCAGGTGTTGATTTGGTTTCTTCAACTAACGCTCGGTACACCTGAAAATCGATTCCACAAACAATTTTAACTCGGAACCTTGTAAATTGACATATATTGAACCAAGTAGAATAAGAAAATACGAACCTCATCTATCATGGGAAGAAACTCACTGGCAGGCTGAAAAAGAATGGCCTCTGCTTTGCTTCCCTGCTGATCATAATTTTATGTAAATCACAACTCTTCTTGATTAGAAAATTAGAATACGATACATTACGGTATTCTAGAAGTTGCTCACTTTATTGTATTGGGAGCATCTCGTCGGGCCTTTGATGTCCATGCCATGGCTTCCCGCATAATATAGCTCGGCCAGGCGAACGAAATTATATACCTATGATTGGAGAAGAAAAAGGTGACAAGTTAGTGGAGGGCCAAGACATGGGAAAAAAATGGAAACCGTGAAGTCATGTGAAGCAGCCTCTCAAGAGTACCTTGTCTCTGCATCTGCCGCTCACTATGGCAGTGGGAAAACACCTCGCGACTTTTCGTACTGTTTTTCTCATCTGATGGGAATATCATAAAAGCTGATATTAGCAGGAAATCCAACAGGGGACCCCCCGGGGGGGGGTAGGAATAGGAGGACATAGTAGTTTTGAGCGAACAACTCACCTCATCGGACATGAAAGCACGATCAGGGTCGTTGACGATAGGCGAGAGAGTACCATCGTAATCCAGGAACACGACGATCTGCTTGCCCTTGGAGGCATCGACGATTTGCTCGAACATGTCTAATGCGGAGGGGTGGCAAAGCTGTTTCATAATAAACAAGGAAGGGTATATAAAAAGAAAATCAGTCCAGCATTTTCAAAGAGGGAGGAAGGCGTGAGGTGATGTGAGGGGAGGGGGGAGGGGGAAACTCACAATCCAAGAGCGATGTTCTTCGGCGAGAGGAGAAGTGGATTTGGAATGGGTGGGAGAAGAGGCTCTCATGGAGTCAACCCAGCAGGCATTGATTTCAAGGTTCTTGAGAACCTTTCTCCTGGGAATGGAAATATAACCGGAGGGAACGGCGGGGGGTTTGTGAGCCGAGGCCGTGGAAATGGAGGAGTTGGAAACAGCGGCAGTAATAGCCATGTTGAGTCCAGGATTTGCGTCTGAAACCATCACATTCTGCTGAGTCATGATGGCTGCGGGTGCAAGTAACACGAAAGCAACGAGCGAAGAGGGACCAGGGGAAGAGAAGAACGAGAGAGGCAGAGGGGTATTGAAGGAAAGAGAGAAGAGGAAGTAACAGTAGAATGGTATATAGGAAGATTGCAGAGAGGAGAAGGGTGGAGAGTTCTGGGGAGGATGCTGGAGAGAAATGGATGGTGGGGTGGATTTATAGCAAGGAGGAGGTTGGGAGGACAGGGCCCACAACTTTGGGAGATAATTCAAGTCAAGTCGATCAGTCCAAATTCATTAAAAAATTTTAAGACCAAACTAAAAAAAATTAATATTTTAATATTTGAGTCTGAAAAAATTCAGATTAAATTCAATTAAGTTTGGACTTATTCTAAATATTTAAATTTAAAAAATAAATTTTAAAAATATATATAAAATAGGATAAATATTAATTAATTTTTAAAATTTTACATCATTTTATATTAAAATACTCTCTCTGTATATATATGAGTATATTATTATAGGTATTTTTTAAAAAAATTAAAAATATTTATATTTTTTTAATCAATAAATATCTTAAAATAATATTTAAAATATATTTTAATATTAATTTTTATATTTTAAGACGTAATTTTTTAAAAAAATTAATTTTATGTTTTTATAAATAAGATAATTAATTTTAAAATAAAAATAAAATTTAGATATGAATAAATTCTTGACTCTACTATTAAATAAATATAATAAATAAAATAACATTCTTGAATAATTATTTAGTTATTATTTATGTTAGACTTGTTTAAAAATTAAGAATAAATTAAAATAAAAATTTTTCATATGTGAGAGTTAAATAATATAAAAAAGTAAAGAAAAAAGCTTAAAAAATAATATTTTACTTATAATTAAATATTTTTTATATAATATAATAATGTCTATTTTTCTTATATTCATACAAATAAAAAGTATAATTTATCCAAAAGTTATTAAAGACTTTGAACTAGTCGGGACAATAATTTTAAATCAGTTATCTAACCATAATTGAGTTAAGATTAACGTAATCATAATTAAAATAATATAATTTAAGTAAAATATAAAATATTTATATATGATTATGATAAGAGTAATATTTAAAAAATTAAGACATCAATTTATAAATAAAAAAATATTTATAAATAAATTACATATAATAAAATAAAATAGTAACAAAGTTACTTAAATATAAAGTTGATAAATTATTTTTATTTTATTTTTTTAAAGTTAAAATAACATTTTATGTTTAATAAAATTATTTAAAAAATAAAAAAATATTTTTAAAAAATTTCAAACATTCAGGCCGACTTGAATAAATTTAAAAATATTAAAATCAGGTTTAGATATTTAATATTTTTTAAAAAAATAAAATATTTTAAATTTAATTTAAATTGAGCCCGATTTAAATAGACTAACCGTCTGAGTTACTGGCTTTCGGAAGGAACCGATATCCGCCCGGCGGAGCGTCAAGGTCATGTTAAGCAAGATTGAAAAAGTGGGATGGGATTGGCCCCTCGTCAATTGCAGTGATTGCCCCCGCCGTCTTCTGTTGATATGTTAATGGCTATGCCGCTCGTGCTTTTCTTTTTGTTTTTCTTTTGTTTTCAGGGCGGAGCCTATTCCCATACTTGGGCTTTCAGTTCAGTAGGCCTTTTTAGTTTTCAACATTTGATGTGCTCCCGCCCCGCCCACTGAAATTTTCTTCCTCCCACAGTTCCACCATCAACCTTGACCAATCAATTTGATAAGTCCAAAAAATATTAAATCAGGCTTTGGAAAATTACGTGTTTTTTTATAATTGGCTTTTTTTTAATAAGCTGTAATTGCCACTTAAAGCTAAACCCGTTTCGGCTGAGGCTGGCCCAAATACCCGCAAATATTTATTTTTTATGGTGGAGAGATGGGGTTACAAAAAGAAGACGACAAAAAAAAAAAAAAAGTGAAAGAAGAGACTCAAGGGGAAGTGAGTCACTTAATGGACAGAATAAAAACTTATCTTTCATTTTTAAAAAATGCAAATATTTTTAGAGAATATATTAACAGATTAAAAATATTTTTAAAATTACAAATTAAACAAAAATATATTAAATAATATATTTTTCAAAGGATGAGTTAACTTGGAGATTTTATTTTTTAAGGTAAAAATAGAGATAGTCTTTTAAAAAAAATCCTAACAATTTGGGTCCTTGGAGTGATTATTGAATTACCAGCAATACCCTGGGGTCTCGAGTTTCAAGTCCACTCCCAACGCTGAAATTTCTTAAAATTACTCACAAATCTATTAAATTGGTCAAGGTCGTACATTGATATTTTAGAATCTCTTTTTCCTGTTGAAACAAAACTAGCTAGAAAAGACACCGTACTATACATATACTCTGATCCTCATGTGAAACATTATTGCCTTGGCCTTTCGGATATTGTCCCTAATAATTTGCCATCCGAACGAGTATCACAGCTGGGAGAAGGTACAAATACTGAATGAACCAATAATGCACACCGCATAAAAGCATGAGAGGGATGAGGGTGGCTTGTTCAAAGGAGAGTTGGGGATGAACACAGGAGACACAAACACAGCCACACAGGTGTCGAAGAAGCCGAACAAATTAAAGCTTGGAAATTAAAGGCAAAAGCAAGTAGGGGTCAGCCACCTGGCCTGCTACTTCGTTTCATTGCTTCGCTCATTCTTCAATCCTGAACAATCAAATAAAGCGATCCCCTGCATGCCTGTCAGACTAATAACTTGAGCCAACATGTTGCCACCCCCACCCCTTTCTTCTTCTACCCGGCCATCCGCCTGAGACGGGGTTCTCCTTGATATACTCAAGCTTCCACGTCATCAATATGTCAATTTATACATTTACGATATAATTATATTTTCTCGTTATAGTTTTAATGCAGAAATAAAGAAAAGCAAGATTTAATTTAGATCCTAACATGAAATTAATTCTGATTCCCTTTAAGCGAAGATAACGATAACCAAATAACTTTATTTGTTAAAACATGCATCTTATAAAATAGTTTAAATTATAAAAAATGTGCTGTATCATAAATATTTTGGTGACCAGGTGACATTCTTCTCCCCCCGACCAATACGAAGTGGTAGTACAGAACCATTGTAGTTTAGTTTAATACGGATTATTAAAATGGTTCTATATATTAGTCATATTGCGTAGGCAAAGATCGCGAGCATCTTCAAAATTACTCCTATTTACAACCTCCCACAGTTTATGCTTTTAAATAGGGGTAAAATTATAAAAATATTCCAGTCTTAAAGCAAGTTAATAATTTAACTACTGCATGCTCTAATGAGGTAATTAAAAAATGACCTGTAGCAATTATCCACAGTTTTTGCGGTGCTTGGTTTAATTTCATTGGGTCACCCCAAACTGTTCCCCGAGAGTGGAATAGCCCCTAAAATTCGTTGGTTCCCTTTTTTTCCGATTCATTTCCTTGTTGGCATTACTGCTTTGTCAAAAAGAACCTGAATATTATATTACTTGTATTTCGGATCTTCGTCATTCTCGCGTGTTCCGAGTCTGTCAAGGGTGACGAAATTCAAAGAGTCGGAGAGAGAGAGACAGCGAAGCTAATTCAGCGTGGTACCAGAAAGTAAAGTCATTTTGCACGTGAGAATTTGTTGACAAGTGGGAATGTGACAGAGTTACTTGCCGCCCAAGTTTCCGAATCTCGTGAAATATTATTAACTTGGCCACAAGAGAGGAGTTACCAGATGGCCGTCGTGTTCAGTTTTATTCACATGCGCAGTATGGGGTCAGCTTTCCCTCGAATTTTGAACACAGTGTTCACATATGCACTCCGTCTGAGCATCTTTCCGTTCTTCTAGCATTAATTCTTTCTTTCAGGCACCTAACTATATATTGCATTCTCTTCATTTTTCAATTAATATTTTACATTCAACTTCAACTTAGCTTTTAGAGGATCCATTCTTCTAGGGCATCTTCTCCCACCCCCAAATTATTGTTCTTTCTATTCAAACCACGAGGCCTCAAACTTCTCGACGAAGCTGTGCACTGAGTGCATCAAGATCTATAGTTGTTACCGTAAAAACCATTCCATTTAAGAACTAGTAAAAATACTCCCTATATATATATAATATCTCCCTTAAAAAATGTAAATCATTTTTTAAAAAATTATATGTTTAAAAATATTTTATATTTTTAATCTTTTGAAATGTAATCATTGTTTTTTTTTTAAGTGTTCTTATTGATAATGACTTTATATTTATTGTAAGGTATTTAATAGGGATAAATAAGAAAATATATGATTAGTTTAAAAGTAGGTAACTATTTTATTAGAAAATAAGATTCAATTAAAAATATTTTATATTTTTAAATGAAGGAAGAATATATATATGTATATAAATAAATATATTCAGAGGGGTCCGAAGGGGCGTTCGCGCGCACATTTAAAGAACCAGCATGGCAAAAAATTAGGCTAAATATACCCTTTCCTAACCCAAAAGCGACCCAGCTTTGTTCTCCGTTGAATCAATTCTCTGATTTCTACATTATTCTGGCATATTATAGGCCTTTGACAGAAAAGACTTCATTTACTTGGCTTTGCCTGCAAACAAGAAGGAAAAGAAAGTAAGAACATCTGCTGTTTTTCGGGCTTGTTTGTTTTTAAAAACAAAATAAAAAATTGTTTAATATATATATATAAGTAGGACTCCCAAGCACATGTGTCAACGCATTAGTAAGCCACTTTAACTCCACATTTTTCTCCCAGAGTGACACATGGATATCCAGGCTGAATAATTTTTCAATAAAATAAAATATTTATATATGCAATGAATTAATTTCATGATTTGATTATTATATAATATATTGATATTTATTAAATATTAATTTGTGTACAAATTAGGATGGGATGAGACATTCCGACACCAAAAAAGGATAAAGTTAGGAAAACAGATCAACTTGGGGATTGTAGGTTCGCTTATGGCAAATCATGAGTTGAAATTTTTCACTCCACACCACTAAAAATGGATTGGCAGGTTGCCAACTTGCCAGTCATTCTTTTTTTTTTCTTTACTTTCTTTTTTAATTCAATTTTTTTAAAATGAATGGAATCTATTTTTTAAAATTAATTACCTAAATATTAATAAAATATTTTGTAAATCAAAAA